ATGTCTATGGATCTCTCCCCATGTGTGTGAGCGGAAGGGCAATCTTTCTGATGTCTTGCCCTTCCGAAGTTTCCCCCTTTCGGGTTGTTTGTCCACGTGTCCTTTGATTACTAAATGTTCCGCTGCGCTGCTTCCCAGCCCATGATGATGATGAYGATACAAATGTGTTGTTGTTGTTTTCTSGTTGGTTTACTCRTTGCATTGTGCACATTGGCATCTTGTGAATGTTACATCTATGCTGCTGGTTGTTGCCACTTTCGTCATTGCTAGATCCTAGGCTCTCAGTGCATTTCACTTTCTGATATGCTACAAGTGGTATCGGAGCTAGTGCGGTGAATCTTGGCAACAACCAATCAATCGATTGATTGATTGGATTGGTGGATTGCCACCAATCAATCTTCGATTGATTGATCAGTCAATCAGGAGATTGATCGAACAATCAATCAATCAACCAGCAATCATCTGAGATTGACTGATTGATTGATTGATTGATTGATTAATTAGGTTGATTGATTATTTGGCAATTTTTTATGTAATCTTGGGAATTTCCTGGAATGAATCATTTATTTATTTTTTTTCCCGAGAAATTATTTCTTTTTCGGAGAATTTTTTTTTCCGAGAAATTATTTTTTTTTCCGAGAATTTTTTTTCGAGAAATTCTTATTCTTTTCCGAAATTTTTTTTCCGAGAAATTTGGTTTCCGAGAATTTTTTTTCGTTCTGAGAATTCTTTTCCTGATAATTTTTTACCTAGTTTAATTGTTAAATGTCTGCATTTTGATAATTTCGCGATTCTTTTTCGAAAATGTCCCTCTACACTTTCACTGCGTAGGTCTGCAAATTCCGTTTTTTAAAAAAAAAAAAAAAAACAAACAAACGACATTTTTTCCTTTCTGCAACCTACTCCTACTCTGAGTTGTAAAGATACTTCTTTTCTGATTCTCTGCAGTTTGAGCACCGAAGGTTCACCATTGCTTTCTGCATCACCTTCGGCACTAAGTGGGATTGGACAGTCTTTTTTCGAATTTTGATTTATTTTTTTAATCAAAATTATTATTTTCCTTTTTTGATTAGGAAACTGTTCAATTTGGGATCTGTCCCATCCTTCCCACTTGTCTGCTGCCTACCTGTTCCTCCCCCTCCAGTCCGGGTACTGCTGTTGGCACACGGGTGACTCTTCAGAGTTCGGGCACGACAGTGCATGCCACTGCTCACTCGATCACAGACCAAAGGCATGGACCAGAAGGCGGGAGAATCCCTCCTGGCCTATGAGGAACGCTTGGTTGCGTTCATCCAGGAGGCCAACGATAAGGCCGCCGCCGCGGCCAAGGAACGGAACCGGATTGAGAAAGAGGAGGAGACCAAGCGACAGCAGGAGGAACACGACCGACTTCGTCAAGAGGAGGCAGACCTGCAGGCTGCAATTGAACACCGGTCCCGCCAACGCGAACGACTGTTCACACGGGAGACCGCGATCGGTGATGAAACCGCACAATGGGTGGAGATGGCAGCTGCGGACGAGGCCTCGGAGACTGACAAAGGGCTGTCAGCCGTTGCGCAATCTCCCACGACCTCATGGCCACCTGCGCTCTGCAGCAGGAGGAAATTCTTCGCCTGCAGCAGACAGTGGACCAGATGCTTGTACGGCTGCAGGCGTTCGAGAAACAGCCAATCGCTGCAGCAGTCGAAGGGCCTTCAAAGCTTGCCACCCGTGTTCAAGTTTTGGAGGATGACGTCAACAACATTAAGCTTGTGCATCAGGACTTCAGGACGTCGCAGCAAGCAACGAACTTACAGTTGGAGACGCAGGTCCAGGCTGCTGCCACCGTGACGCCCGCCGCCTCATCCTCCCGGCGCCCACCCAAACTGGATGACATTCCAGTTTTCTGCGATCAGTCCAAGACGGAACCGATCCCGTGGTGGCGCCAGTTTACTGTCAAGCTCGGCATGCACCATGTCCCGAACAACGATCGACATCCGTGCTTGTACCACCGATCTGGTGGTGCATGTCAAGCATGGCTGGACAACATCTTGATCAGCCACGGCGTGGCAGTGTCGGAACTGCACACCAAGCTCACTTGGCAGGAGTTGACTGACGCCTGGCACAAGCGATTCCAAGTGGAGCCGCCCGACCTGCAAGCGATGGACAAGCTCAACAAGCTCCATCAGAACACGCTGCTCAGTCAGGACTGGATTACCGAGTTCCAAAGACTCGCYTCCRCMCCTGAYCTGCCGCTCGCATTCCGCGCCATCAAGCACTTGTTTATCATGCGCTCGTGTCCAGCTCTGCAAAACGCGCTGACGCAGATTGAAGAGACACTCGACACATCTGACAAGCTTTTTAGCACAGTGTCACGGATCATTCTCACGAATATCGAAGCCCGCAACGCCGGCCGATCCTCCGCGACAACGAGCGGCACCCAGCCCAAGCCAAAGGTGGCTTGCATTACTTCTACCGAGGCTGCAACACCAAACGAGGGTGAAGTGTTGGCAGCTGCCCGGGATGGTGGCCGGCCGCGCAACAACCACGGCCGCGACAAGACGAAGACTCAGTCCACCTCTACACCGAGCACCGGATCAGCGGCCGACGCACCTTGGGCACAATACGGACTCTCGGCGAATTCTTATCGCACGAGACTCAAGTACCGTTACTGCCTTTGGTGCAATAGCACCATCCACGATGCTGCACATTGCCCCACCAAGGGGAAACCCCGTTCGGGAAAGTAGGCGCCGCCGAGGGTGACTCGACACCTCCCTCGACGCCATCGGAAGCGTTTGTGCGCATGACCGCCCTTTCTTCCGAGGCATATGCGGATGTCGGGAGTCTTCCACTTTCGTTCGAAGACTTCGCTGCCCGGCTCGTTCCTTCACTGGATGCTTCTCAAGGACAAGATACATGTGCGGCTTTCTCATCGTCCGGAGGTTACTCCGCCACTTCGTCTTCATCAAGGGATTTGGCAAGCGCATTCAACGAGGAGGTCTTGGACCCGCTCATGCCCGAGGACTTCGCTTGGATTCCTCTCCCTACGACGGGCAACCTTCCGGGGCCGCAAAGCGCAACACTATGCGCCCTCTTACACGAGTATCTTTCCTTCCGTGCACCACCAACTTCGCCGACGGTAGACGAAGTCGCGGTGGGGGACATGCTTGGCTATGTTGCCAAAGTGGCCCGCGAGTTTGTCTCGCAACGGTACGAAGAAAACAACGCACCGTTGCTCTACGTTCGCATTCAGATTGGGCAAGCGGCCTGCAACGCTTTGCTAGATTGCGGCGCAACTCGCAACTTCATCAGCCAGTCCTTCATGACTCGGGTTGGCCTTGGCGCACAAGTACGGAGGAAGTCACATCCGACGATGGTCGCTCTTGCTGACGGTAAGACGAAACATCTTTTAGATCGTTACATCTCGACTGTCCCGGTGTACTTTGCACCGCACGCATGTGAACCCGTCACTTTTGACRTGTTGGACACCGRCTTCGATGTCATTTTGGGGATGCCTTGGCTTTCTAGCGCGGACCACACGGTCAATTTYCATCGACGCACGCTCACGATTCGTGATGCAACTGGCGCCGAGGTCCCGTGTACTATTCCTCCTCCTCGCTCTTCCATTCGGTGCCAAGTCGTGAGTGCCAAATCTTTTCGAGACACATGCCGTTCCGAGCATGTCGAAGAGATCGGCATCGCTTTTTTCTTCGAATCGTCCCGACGACCGATTCATCGTCCACGGATGTGTCTTCCGACCCCCGTGTGACCCGGTTGTTAGATGAGTTCCCGGATGTTTTTGAGACACCCTCCGGTATAGTGCCGGACTGGCCAATCTCTCACGAGATCATACTTGAGGCCGGCGCCGTGCCACCGAAGGGATGCATTTATCGCATGTCCGAGGAGGAGCTCACGGTTCTCCGTGCGCAACTCGACAATCTACTTGACAAGGGTTGGATCCGCCCTAGCAGCTCACCTTACGGTGCGCCCGTTCTCTTCGTTCGGAAGAAGAACAAGGACCTTCGACTTTGCATTGACTACCGACGCCTCAACGCGCAAACCATCAAGAACGCCGCGGGGCCTCTACCTCGCATTGACGATTTGCTTGAGTGGGTGGGCGGCGCCAAGTACTTTTCGAAGTTGGACCTCAAGTCCGGCTACCATCAGATTTCCATCCGCCCGCAAGATCGGTACAAAACCGCATTTAAGACGCGATATGGGCATTTTGAGTGGGTTGTTATGCCTTTTGGCCTCACCAATGCCCCGACCACCTTTCAGGCGGCCATGACCACCGAGTTTCACGCTATGTTGGACCGCTTAGACGACATCCTCGTCTATAGCCGAACTCTAGAGGAGCATCTCGAGCCCCTTCGCCGTGTTCTAGAGACTCTTCTGTCAGCCCGGTACAAAGCTAACCGCGACAAATGCGAGTTTGTCCGGCAAGAGTTTGAATACTTGGGTCATTTTGTCTTTCCGGAAGGCATTCGTCCGTTGGCGGACAAGATTCAAGCCATCCATGAGTGGCCTGAGCCAAAGAATGTGACGGGCGTCCGAGCCTTCCTCGGCTTGGCCGGTTATTATCAGCGTATCATTAAGAGTTACTCGAAGATCGCGGCCAACCTAAGCAAGTTACAAAGCGAGGAGCGGCCTTTTGACTTCGACGACGATGCGCGCCATTCTTTTGAAACACTCAAAGCGGCACTCTTATCCGCCGAGGTGTTACATATTTACGACCCGCTTCTAGCTACGCGCATCACTACCGATGCGTCAGGCTATGACATTGGGGCCGTCCTTGAGCAGCACGATGGCACGGAGTGGGAGCCGGTCGAGTACTTTAGCAAGAAAGTACCTCCCGTGCATTCGATCGACGACGCACGGAAGAAGGAGCTTCTTGCCTTCGTCCACGCCCTCAAGCGTTGGCGACATTTCCTCCTTGGTCAGAAAGCATTCCGATGGGTAACGGATAACAATCCGTTGGTATTCTACAAGTCGCAAGACACGATTAACAGTACCATTGCCCGATGGATTGCTTTCATCGACCAGTTTGACTTTTTCCCCGATCACATTCCCGGGAAGTCAAACCGTTTTGCGGACGCCCTCTCACGACGACCGGATCTTTGCACCGCAGTCTACTCTACCTTCGAGATCGACGACGACTTGCGGGAGAGCTTCATCCGCGGATATCAAGCCGACCCCCACTTTCGCGACAAGTACACGAATTGCTCCTCTCCGAATCCGGTGTCTTTGCATTATCGGATCCAAGAGGGCTACTTACTTGTGCATTCACGGGGATCTTCTTTGTGTGCCGAGTGATTCACACTTGCACACACGGCTTCTTGGCGAGTTTCACGATGCGCCCGCCTCCGGACATTTTGGTGTCAACCGTACACTTGGCCGACTTCGCCAGCGGTTCTATTGGCCCGACCTTCTCAAGGACGCCACCCGCTATTGTGAGTCGTGCGAAGTCTGTCGGCGTTGCAAGTCATACAACCATGGTCCGTTTGGCGAGCTACACCCACTACCAGTTCCCCTTGGGCGACAGGAAGCGATTGCTATGGATATCACCGGCCCCTTCCCGAAGCACAAGACCGGCGTTGATGGGATCCTCACGGTCGTCGACCGCCTCACCAAGTATGCCATGTTTTTGCCTTGCCGCTATCACGCAAAGGCAGCGGAGTTAGCCGAGGTCTTATACACTGATTGGATTCGCTCCAAGGGCTACCCCAAGGAGATCGTTTGCGACCGGGACACTCGCTTTCTCTCCGACTTTTGGGTCGCCCTCGTCAAGCGATGGGGCTCATCTTTGAAGCCGAGTTCGGCTCGCCACCCGCAAACCAATGGTCAAACGGAAAGGGCGCAGCAGACCACTCAAGTCCTTCTACGCACTCTCATCCGTCCCGATCAGGTTGATTGGGTTGGGCGCTTGCCAGACGTTGAGTTGGCTTACCACTCATCGATCCATCCGGCTATCGGGATGTCGCCATTCGAGTTTGAGCATGGTTCACCCATCTCATCGCCGCTGGACGCCACTTTGCCGCGCACAGCCGAGAGCGACGACCATCTTGCGTTCCTTCGTCGCATGCAAGTACTTCTTGTCAAGGCACGTGATCAAATGTCGAAGACGCAAATACGGATGAGCCGTCAAGCCAACCGCAATCGCCTTCCTTGCCCGTTCCACGCCGACGATCTGGTTTGGGTCTCCGCTGCGGAGTTCAGCCTTGAGCAAGACATCTCTCGCAAGCTCCTTCCCAAGTGGATGGGGCCTTGGCGCATTCTCTCTACAGTTGGTGATGATCCCGAGGGGCCTTCATTCCGCATCGCGGTGCCACCTCACTTGCCCGTCTACACGGTGTTCCACTGTTCCAAACTCGCTCCTTTCGTTTCAGCGGAGTCGGACGAGTTTCCCGGTCGACGTACGCAAGACCCTCCTTCCATGGACGGATTTCAGGAGGCCGGCTACATCATCACCGACCGGCGCCATGGCAACAAAGAAACAGAGTTCCTACTTCACTTTTCCTACTGCAGCCACAAGGCTGACCGTTGGCTGACGCGTTCAGAACTGCAGGCCACAGCTCCCGCCGTTCTCTCACGTTATCTTAGCAAAGGGAAGACTACGCCGAGCACTCCAGCTCCTCGCCTTCCTCGCTACATTCCGCCATCGRATCGGCWGCTTCGCCCGCGCCCCGGCTCGTCTTCATARGGAGGGRGGCGTGTTACATGMTGAAAGCCTACACACGGGSCCCTCACGGGACCCGAGGTTGGAATAGGGCCCCCAGGTCGCGTCACCGCAACCTGAAGGCCCTATGGGATTTTTACTTGGGCCTGCATCAGAAAAACGCCAGCTTTAGATTATTTTTATATTCTTTTATCTATTTATTTGCTGCTGTTTTTTTAACGGTTGTCCTGTTGCCCGTTTTGTGGCCAGGTACACGTCTTAGGACCAGGGCCAGATTCAGGCCCAGAGGCCGAGCTCCTAAAAACGTTTGGACCTTTTCTTTTGTTTTCGAACAGATTTCTACCTGTTCGGACCCAGGCCGACGTTGAGGCCGGGTACGTCCGCACAGGACCGGTTCGAAGCCAGGTACCAGGAAACTGCATCCTGGACAGGGACTGGACGTCCGGTAGGGACCCAGGCAGGCCGTTTTAGGCCAAGGACTGAACCAGTTTTCGAAGCCTGCGATCTGGACCGTGGATCGGAGTTTCGATCTGCACGGTCCAGAACGCAGGCCGTGGGTTTTCAGTCCTGGCCCAGCGCTACTTAAGCTGGGCCATTGCCCAGTTCGGACACAGAAGGTACCAGGAGAAATCCAGCGTCATGCTGGTTCAGGAACTTCGCTGCTGCGCTATTCTGGAGACTCCCTGCTGCGCTATTTCGAGACTGCAGCTGCGCTGCTCATCGGCAATGAGGCACAGCGCTGGAGGAGTCCAGCGCCGAGGAGGGTAGTGGAGTTAGAGAGAGAGAG